TGGTGAGGCTGCTAACCCTCTGTCTGTCTCTCCCTCCGAGACCTCAGCTCAGTTGTTGTTGCTAATTTCACTCGGTCCCCAGCTGTGACCCCATGTTTTGGGAGGAGGAATTGGTTCCTGTCATTATCCATTCATTTTCCTTCCAGCTGTGGACCTCATCACTGCCTGTGACATTCGCTACTGTACCCAGGATGCGTTCTTCCAGGTCAAGGTGAGGCTCTTGCCTTCGGGAACCCTTGCAGTGCTAGGCATCCACAGAGTGGGGGGAGCAGTGGGTGGGGAGAGCAGGAACAGTGCAGGCCGAGGCAGCTGGTCTTGAGGGTTTCCCGGAAGAAGGTGTAAGAACCAGACCTTAGGAAGTAAAGTTCTGGCAAAGAAGAGGCACACCGCAGAGACTGCAGCAGCCTGGACCGTAGAGGGAGTGGAGGGCGGTCAGGGTTTCTTTTACTGTTGCTGTGTTGAAATATTTGGACAAACAACTTAACAGAGTAAAGGTTTGTTTTAGCCCACAGTTGAGGTTCCAGTCCATCGTGGTGGGGAAGTCAAGGCAGCAAGAGCATGAAGAAATGTCACATCTCGAGTGCAGTCAGAGGAGTGGGTACCCGCCACCTACACGCCAGGGTCCCACCCACAATTGACTGCATCGAGTAATCCCAGCACCAGGAGGCAGAGGCAGGAGATCTAGGCCAGAGTTCAGGGCAGCCAGGGTTGCACGGAGGAACCCTATCTTAAAAAACAAAACAACAAAAAAAAGATAGTACCGCAGAGGCTGGTCTCTAGATTCTGTCAGGTTGGCAGTAAACACTGGCCACCACATGGACCAACCTGAGCTTTACTGTGAGACCCTGGCAGCAAGGTGGGCGGGTGCTGTGGGCGTATGGAGCTCAGTGGTAGAGGGCACGAATGGAAGAAAAGCTCTGAGTTGGCACTGCCCAGCACCCAAAGGGGACGCAGGCTCAGCTGGAGAGGATGGCATCGTGGGCACTCCCATCAGTGAGTTAGCTGGGACTGCTGCCATCTAAGGTAAGGGGTGGAGTGGAGCCCAGGGCTCTGGAAAGGGCCTTGGGAGCCAGCTGCGGGGCCAGGTAGCAGCAGCATCTTGAGGGTGTCTGAGCCAGGGCGGTGAAAGCCCTGCGGGCGATGGAGGATGCTCTGTGCTCGCATGGGAAACAATAGCACACGCAGAGCAGACGCTGACAGTGTTTCCCCCTAGGAGGTGGATATCGGCCTGGCTGCTGATGTGGGGACCCTGCAGCGACTTCCCAGGGTCATTGGGAACCAGAGGTGAGGGGTGATGATGACCTGGGTTGGAGGGGTCAGACCCAGGATGACAGTGGCTCCTGACCTCCCTTCCCCTTATGTAGCCTGGTCAATGAGCTGACCTTCACCGCCCGAAAGATGATGGCTGACGAGGCCCTGGACAGTGGGCTGGTCAGGTAGGACCCTGACTGACGGATGGAAGGGAGGGGCACAGGGCCGCCCAGACCAGGGTGGGGCTTCGTGGTCTCCTGTACCCTCAACCTAGAGTCCAAATGGCCTTTCTCAGCGCGGCTATTTCTTCCCCTGAGCATCATCCTGTGGCTGAACCCTTCGTTTGGGGTTCCCGTTTTCTTTGTGAGGCCACCTGGCCAACCACAGGGGAGAAGGAGACCGTTCCTCTCATTGATCCCTTCCCTGGCAGCCGTGTGTTCACAGATAAAGATATCATGTTGAATGCAGCCTTTGCCCTGGCGTCTGAGATCTCCAGCAAGAGCCCTGTGGCTGTGCAGGGATCCAAAATCAACCTAATCTACTCCCGAGACCATTCAGTGGATGAGAGCCTCGACTACATGGTAAGGCCCGCCCGCCTACGCCCGCTTCCATCAATCGTGGCCCTCCTGGCCCAGGGAGCCCAATTTGGCTCCGGGGCGCTGCTTGCGTGCTTGCGCGTGCGTGCGTGCGTGCGTGCTTGCGCACACTTCCTCTGACCGGTGCCCTGCCGCTCTTTCCCACACCCTCGGTCCAGGCCACCTGGAACATGAGCATGCTGCAGACCCAGGACATCATCAAGTCAGTCCAGGCCGCCATGGAGAAGAAGGACATGAAAAATGTCACCTTCTCCAAGCTCTGAGCGCCTTCTGTCTCGAGAGAGGAAGGCTCCACGGAGGGTCAGGACGGTTCCTCAGTGCCTTCTCCCACGTGGTCTCCCAGTGTACAGCCTTATGGCTTAGTTCTTCAGCTCTGGAGCCTTATCTTCACTGTGAACAATAAAGCGTGAACACAGCCTGTTGTCTTTACTGCCCTGGGTGGGGGCTCAGAGGCCTGGCTCCAAGGAGGGCAATCGGGAAGGCTGGGAGGCAAATCTGCCTGGGCCAAGAGGAAGTGTGCCAGGAACTGAGGCCCCGCAAGGCTGAAAGGCCACCCTGTGCCTGACCCCGAGTGAGGTGTGGCACAGCACAGCACAGCAGGCCTGGGTGCCTGCCACTGGCTGAGTTAACTGCCACCGACACTGAGCCAATTGCATCATTTCTTCCTTCTCTGCAAGAGCAGCAAGTGCCTTAACCACCAAGCATCTCTCCAGCCCCTTTTAAAAATGTTGATTTGGAGCCTGGAGAGATGTCTCTGTGATTAAGAGCACTGACTGCTCTTCCAGAGGTCCTGAGCTTAATTCCCAGCAACAACATGGTGGCTCATAACCACCTATAATGAGATCAGATTCCTCCTTCTGGTGGACATGAAGACAGAAAAACTCATATACATAAAATACACAAATAAATAATTTTTTTTAAAAAAATGTTGATTTTGTTTATTTGTGTGTATGTGTTTGTAAAGAAGTAAGGAAGTTGGTTCCCTGTTTCTACTGTATGGGTCTATGAATTGAACATGGGGCAAGTGCTCACCTGCTGAGCCACCTGGCAGGATATATATATATATATATATATATATATTTGTTTGTTTGTTTTGAGACAGGGTTTCTCTGTATAGCTTTTGGAGTCTGACCTGGAACACACTCTGTAGACCAGGCTGGTCTCGACCTCACAGAGATCCACCTGCCTCTGTCTCCCGAGTGCTGGGATTAAAGGTATGTGCCACCACCACCCAGATTTTTTATTTTATTTTTTGACATGGTGTCATGTGGACAAGTCCGGCCTGAAACTCACTGTGGCCGAGAATGACCTTCACTCCAGTGTACAGGTGTGCCTCAGCACATCTGTCCCATTTTGGATTGTTTTAACTTTGGGTTTTCTTATCCATGGGTAATCTCAGCCCTCCGGAGTTATGTTTTTTTTTTTTTTTTTTTTTTTTTTTTTCGAGACAGGGTTTCTCTGTGGCTTTGGAGCCTGTCCTGGCACTAGCTCTTGTAGACCAGGCTGGTCTCGAACTCACAGAGATCCGCCTGCCTCTGCCTCCCGAGTGCTGGGATTAAAGGCGTGCGCCACCACCGCCCGGCTGCAGTTATGTTTGAAGTGAGTGTAAGGCCAAACATTTACTTAGTGTCTTCTGTATGCTGAGTCATGTGATAGGCATTTATTAACTTGGGGAGCCCTCTCCTTCCTCCTTGTGTTGCTGGCACTGGAACTCAGGGCCCCACACATGCCAAGCAAGTGTTCACCTCTGAGCTCTAGCCCCAGCCCTCCTTTACTCTTTATTTCTATTTTAATTTTACTTTGGGTTTTGTTTGAATCCCTACATCTGTGCCCCAACCTTTGATGGTATTCCTCAGGACTCCTCAACCTTTTTAAATTGTTGGTGGTGGATCCCCCCCCGCCAAAACAGGGTGTAGCCTTGGCTGTCCTGGAACACTCTGTAGACCAGGCTGGCCTCGAACTCAGAGATCCACCTGCCTCTGCCTCCTGAGTGCTGGGATTCAAGGCATGCAGTACCCATGCCCGACTTGGCTTTGGCTTCTTAATTTTATTTTATGTGTGGGTGTTTGCCTGTGTGTATGCAGCACATGCATGTGTCAGACACGGGTGCCAGGAAAGGGTGCTGGATCCCTGGAACTGAAGTTACAGATGGTTGTGAGCCACCATGTGGATGCTGGGACTCTAACCCAGGTCATGTGATTTTCACATGGAACCCACTTATAGGCCAGATTCTCCTCTAATTTATATAGATTCACCTGCCTCTGCCTCCTGAGTCCTGGATTAAAGGCATGTGCCACCATGCCCAGTCATAACCAGATCTTTTTTTTTAGGTAGAGTCTTGTTCTACAGACCAGGCTGCCCCTGAGCTTGCAAGTAATTTTCCTGCCTTTGCTTCCCAAATGCTAGGATTGTAGACACCACACTTGGCTTTGCTGCCGGATTTCATTTGTTTGGGATAGGATCTCCTGTAACCCAGACTGGCCTTAAGTTCCCTGTGTGGTGGAGGATGACCTTGACCCCCTAGGACTTTCTGGTCCTGGTTGCTGGGATCCTGGCACTCTTCCTGTAGTGCTGGATATGAGCCTCAGGATTTCCTAAGGCCAGGCAAGCATTCTACCAACTAAGCTAACCTCAAACTTGCAGCAATTCTCCTGCCTCCACCTTCCACGTGCTGGAGTTATAGTCCGAGTCCTCAGTACATCCGCGGTCTGCTATTTGTTCCAAGGGCTTGTCGGTGGACACTATCGTTTCCTCCACTTTACAGATGGGCAAGCCGAGAGTGAGGTGCTGGCTCCAGATAGCCGGAAAGGGGCAGTGGTAGAACTGGACCTCTGAACCTGTGGCCCCAGCTGTGTGCGCTAAGCCCTTGTCCTAGAGTATGTGGGGTCAGGAGGTGCAAGGCATCCCCCTTCATTGTGGCTTGCTTCTCCTGGCCACCTGTCCTCATACTCCCGTGGCCCAGCCCCTGCCCTGCCCACCAGATCATCCCCTCCCTCTGCCAACAGTTGTCAAGGCAAGGTTTTATTGTTCTGATAAAGCCCTGTAAGGCCGAAGTCCAGGAATACTTCCTCCTCATGGGGCACCTCTGAGGGTTAGCATCCCTGCCAGCATGGGAGGCTAGGGTGTGTCCTAGTGATCCCCACCGGAGAGACTTCATGACCTCTCCCCTGACAGCCACTCCCTCTAGTATAAGGGCCACCTGCGACCTGCCACCATTCCACTGCCCCTCTCTTCTCTCAGGACAAGCTATCAGCTCAGACTCTCAAGATGGCCTTTGTCCCAGCGCCGGGATACCAGCCCACCTACAATCCGGTGAGACGCCCACCTGAGCCCACACCTTGTCTTCCCCAAACCCCGTTTTCCTTTCCCCCCTTTGCTGTGCTGAGGAAGTATTCTACTGAACCATGTCCCCAGCCTCTCAGCCCTAATTTCATCTCCCGTGCTTAAGGGACTGGGGGTGTTTGAGGTGAGGGGGAAGGGCTGTGACAGGCAGGCAGCCTCTGAGGTTCTTCAACTGACCCCTTCTACAGACCCTGCCCTACAAGAGGCCCATTCCGGGTGGCCTCAGTGTTGGAATGTCTATTTACATCCAAGGAGTAGCCAAAGAGAAGATGAAACGGTGAGACAGCCCCCCACCCTGTCCCTGCCCACCCCAGGGAGAGGCTTTCTCCCGTCCCTAACTCAGGTGCCAGGCACAGTTTGGAGCATGCTGGGAGTCTGGTGCTCACAGGGTCCCTCTGGCTGCTTATGGGGTACAAAGGGCTTTTGGGGACAGAAATAAGCAGGGAGGCCCCAATTAAGAGGTAGAGGAAGGAAGGAAACGATGAGGGCCCAGTAGAAGAAGGGACTGAATGGGTCCTATCAAGATTGGTCAAGAGAGGTCAGGAAGGGGTCACCAAGGGATAATACCCTGAAGTGACAGATTGAGAAAGTGAATTCAGATCACAAGCCCAGAGCCTAAAGTCACTTCCTCTCCCCTGCCGGGGAATGGGGGCACTCAGCCATTGTGTGACTCAGAGAGCTACTGAGCTACTGGGCATCTCTGTCCTTCAACTTTCCATCTGTAAAATGCACTGATTGCTAGGTTTCAAGGTACAAAAGAGCAAATCCACTAAGGCCATGCTTCAATGTGGAAATTATTATTGAACTACGTTCCCCATGTTGTTTCCTTATCATTTTTAGTGTGTGTGCAAAGAGTAATGTTCATGTGCGTGTGCATGCATGCATGTGTGTGTATCGGCCAGAGGTAAGCCTGAAGTGTCTTTTTCAGGCACCACCCACCTTTGTGTATGTGTGTATCCACATGTGTGTGTGCAGGTGGAGGCCGGAGTCAACTCCAGGTGCCCCCTCAGTCACATCTGTGCTTTGTTCTATGTTTCTGAGACAGTGCTTCACTAAGTAGCCCTGGCTAGCCTGGAACTTGCTATGTAGACCAGGCTGGCCTCTCGCGGAGATTTGCCCACCTCTGCCTCCCTGGGATCGACCTTGTTTTTTGAGACAGACTCTCTCACTGGGCCCCAGAGCCTGTTCGCTAGGCTGGTCAGTGAGCGTGAGGCCCGGCTTTCCCCGGGTTCGTCATGCTTGCACAGCAAGCACCGGCTAAGACGATTCTCCAGCCCCCCAGTTCTTCCTTCTTTATCTGGCATTCCTTCCTTATTAAATAGCCGTGCGTGCTGGAGCAGAGTCCCAATGAGGACAAAGGTTCTTGCCCTCAGATGGTGCACGCCGGTGATCCCAGCACTCTGCAGGTTGAGGCAGGAAGACCACCATTTAGACACCAGCCTGGACTAAAGAGTGAGCCCCGACTTTCATCACTCCACCAGCCCCCCAAAAGGAAAAAAATATAAAAGAAAGAGTCTGACTCACCCTTATCTCTGAGGACACTCTAGGGAGATGAGAAAGAGAAGCAGAGAGGAGAGGGGGCCCCGAGACTGCATATGGAGCTCAGGATCCTTTCCTGCCTGTAATCTGGGTCAACGGTGCCCGGGCCCAGGCAGGGTGTCCCCAGAACTTCTTACAGAAAGCCCCTTGCACGGGCAGGCAGATACTGAACCAGCCCTTTCTTATGCCACCAGGTTCCATGTGAACTTCTCTGTGGGGCAGGATGAGGGGGCAGACATCGCTTTTCACTTCAACCCCCGCTTTGATGGCTGGGACAAGGTGGTCTTCAACACAAAGCAGAGCGGACAGTGGGGCTCAGAGGAGAAGAAGAAGAGCATGCCTTTCAAGAGGGGCAGCCACTTCGAGCTGGTGTTCATGGTCATGCCTGAGCACTTCAAGGTCTGGCCCCTCCCTGCAGCCTCCCTCCATTCGATTCCCTTCCCTGCATCCCCCATCCCTGCAGCTTCCCTCCCTGCAGCTCCCCTCCATGCAGCCGCTCCCTGCAGCCTCCTCCCTGCAGCCCTCCCTCTCTGCAGCCTTCCCTCCCTTCAGCCTTCCCTCCCCATACCCCCCTCCCTGCAGCCCCCTCCCTGCAGCGCTCCCTCCATTCAATTCCCTTCCCTGCATCCCCCATCCCTGCAGCTTCCCTCCCTGCAGCTCCCCTCCATGCAGCCGCTCCCTGCAGCCTCCTCCCTGCAGCCCTCCCTCTCTGTAGCCTTCCCTCCCTTCAGCCTTCCCTCCCCATACCCCTCTCCCTGCAGCCCCCTCCCTGCAGCGCTCCCTCCATTCGATTCCCTTCCCTGCATCCCCCATCCCTGCAGCTTCCCTCCCTGCAGCTCCCCTCCATGCAGCCGCTCCCTGCAGCCCCCTCCCTGCAGCCTCCTCCCTGCAGCCCTCCCTCTCTGCAGCCTTCCCTCCCTTCAGCCTTCCCTCCCCGCAGCCCCCTCCCTGCAGCCCCCTCCCTGCAGCGCTCCCTCCATTCAATTCCCTTCCCTGCATCCCCCATCCCTACAGCTTCCCTCCCTGCAGCTCCTTCCTGCAGCCCTCCCTCCCTGCAGTCCTCCCTCCCTGCAGTCCTCCCTCCCTGCAGCCCTCCCTCCCTGCAGCCCTCCCTCCCCACAGCCCTCTCCCTGTGTCCCTCCCCACTCCCTACAGTCCTTTCACTCTGTCTTCCCTGCTGATGGAATGAGAGCGTCCTCGTGCCTGGTCTGCAAGTGTAAAATGCTTTCTCCATAACTAAGCCACGCCCCAGCTTTCTTTTTACTTTTACTTTTATTTTATTATTTTTTTTGTCTGTTTTGTTTCATTAGTTCAGTTTTTTGAGACAGGGTCTCTCTCTATAGGTCTGGCTCTCCTGGAACTTGCTATATGGAATAGGCCAGCCTTGAACACACAGAGAACCATCCTCTCTGCCTCATGAGTGCTGGGATTAAAGACTTAAATCACCATGCCTATCTCCTGACTTTTGACGTGGGTTCTAAGAGCTAATTCAAGTTGTCAGACTCAATCCAAGAGCTTTTAGCTGCTGGGCCGCCTTTCCAATCCTCCAATTCTTTTTAAGTTTTCTGTTTGTTTGTATGTTTTTTCCTCAAGATAGAGTTTCTCTGTATATCCTTGCTGTCCTGGAGCTAGGTCTGTAGAAGAGGCTGGCCTCGAACTCACAGAGATCCTCCTGTCTCTGCCTCCCAAATGCTGGGATTAAAGGCGTGTGCCGCCACCAGTTTTAATTTAAAATTTCATGCCTTTAATCCCAGCACTAAGGAGGCACAGGCAGGCGGATCTTTGTGAGTTCGAGGCCAGCCTCTTCTACAAAGTCTCAGGACAGCCAGGACTGTTACATAGAGAAACCCTGTCTCTTGGGAGAGGGGAGAAGTTCCCTTGAGGCTGGGAAATGGTTCAGTCAGTAAAGTGCTGTCTGTGCGAGCTGGAGGACCCCACTTCCATCCCCACCACCCACATATTGAGCGGTGTGGTGACCATACCTATAATCCAGCTCCAGGAAGGCAGAAGAGGAGGATCCTCGGGGCTTGCTGGCCAGCCAGCCTAGGCTACTTGACAACTGCAGGCTCGGTGAGAGAGACCCTGTTTCAAAAAAACAAGGCACAGGGCTCTGAGGTACAGTACTCACAGTGGACCTCTGGTCTCCACATAAACTTGCACACACATGTACCTGCACATATGTGAACACATGCACATGCATAACACACTAAGTAAATAAACACAATCCCATTTCTCCCTTCCTATAGTCCCTTGCGTCAGGGTGCTGGTGTCTGACACTTCTCTGCCCTCCAGGTCGTGGTAAATGGAAATCCCTTCTATGAATATGGGCACCGACTGCCTCTACAGATGGTCACCCATCTGGATGTGGATGGAGACTTGGAACTTCAGTCCATCAACTTCCTTGGAGGCCAGCAATCCGCCCCAGCCCAGTATCCGGTATGAGATGTCTTTTCCTTTGCCTTCTTGCCCATTCTCACACTGTCTGTGTTCCCAGCTCCAGTCCCTCTGATGAGTGGGCCTAGGGACCCTGTGGTGATCAGGACAGTCCACCAGGAAGACAGACACATGACCAGGCAGGCGTGGCTCCCATGGTCAAGACCGTGGGGCGGGGGGGGGGGGGGAGATAGAGAAAGGATCAGGATCCAGATAAGGAGGCTCAGGTGGAGGGTCGGTCTCGGGGGCAGGGTTACAGCAAGGTGCTCTGAGCATCCAAAGGAAGAATCTGCCTTCATCAAGGAGGGCTTCCAGGGGGAAGAAGAGGTGTGTAAACTGGGTCAGAAAGTGAGATGAGAGAAGACCAGCAGATAAAGAGTTTAGGACTAGCAAACAGCCCAGGACAGGTTGCCTAACACGTTAGTCACCCGGGAAACACAAAGCCATAGTGAGTTGCCACCACATACCCATCAGGGCGGTAATGGAACAAAGTGTATAACACAAAACCATGTGTCCTGTTTGTAGGCATGTGGATCAGCTAGCACAGCTACCATATGGCTGTTCAGAGTGTAATTTGGTGCAATCACCTTGGAAATTGGCCAACAGAGCTAGATCTGAATGCCAAGCAAATATGGGTCCCAGTGTCCTAGAAGCTCCACACCCAAGTGCACAGCCTATGAGGAGCCTCCAAAACACACCCACTGCAATAAGCAGCGTGCCACCGCCAAAAGTCTTGGGTGGAAGTTTGCTTAATGGTAGAACATCTGCCTGGAAGCCCCAGTGAGGGGCTGGGGTGTGGCTCAGTGGCAGAGCCCCTGCCTAGAATCCCCCAGTGAGGGGCTGGGGTGTGGCTCAGTGGCAGAGCCCCTGCCTAGAATCCCCCAGTGAGGGGCTGGGGTGTGGCTCAGTGGCAGAGCCCCTGCCTAGAATCCCCCAGTGAGGGGCTGGGGTGTGGCTCAGTGGTAGAGCCCCTGCCTAGAATCCCCCAGTGAGGGGCTGGGGTGTGGCTCAGTGGGAGAGCCCCTGCCTAGAATCCCCCAGTGAGGACTGGCTCAGCTAGAGTAAGGTAGTGTAAGGTGTGGGATGATTTCCTGAGTTCCTTTCTCAACACCAACCAATTAACCAACAAAAGCCTGAAGTCAGAGCTATCAGCCTGGGGGCTGGAGAGGTGGCAGTGAAGAAGGCGTACAGCCTGGACAGCACTGGGTTGAAGGTGGAACAACCTTTAATCCTAGCACTTGAGAGCCAGAGGCTGGCGGGTCTCTGTGAGTTCAAGGGCAGCCTAGTCTATGTAGTGGTTCCAGGACAGCCAGGGCTATGTGGTGAGACTGTCTTAAAAAAAAAAAAAACAAAAAACAAAAAAACAAAAAAAACAACAACAAAAAAACAAACCCAGAAGGGCCTAGTGGCAGTGGCGCACGCCTTTAGTTCCAGCACTCGGGAGGCAGAGGCAGGTGGATCTCTGTGAGTGTGAGGCCAGCCTGGTCTTCAAGAGCTAGTTCCAGGACTGGTTCCAAAGTTACAGAGAAACCCTGTCTCAAAAAACCAAAACCAACCCCCCCCGCCACCAAGAAAACAAAAAAACAAAACCAGAAGGACCTGGGTTTAGTTCCAGGAGATCTGGACCCTCTGCTGACCTACACAGGCTCTGTGCACACATGGTGCACAGACATGCACTACACATGGTGCACAGACATGCACTACACATGGTGCACAGACATGCACTACACATGGTGCACAGACATGCACTACACATGGTGCACAGACATGCACTTAGGCACATACACATAACTGTAATACATAAAATCTTTAAAAATAAAAATAGAATTGATCTGCCTGTTCTTCAACAAGTCAGTGAATCAAAGCGATGAGTTCATCACCCAGAGAGAGAAAGAACAAGTCACACAATCATCAGGGGGAAGCCGACATCAAATATGGAGTCTAGCCAGCATGGTGACTCCTGCCTGTAATCCCAGCATCAGGAGGTAGAGGCAGGATGTTCACTGCGGGTTGGAGAACAGCCTGAGCCACATAGCAGAGCCCTCATGTTTGCGCTTGTGTGTGTGTGAGTGGACAGATTGACTGATTATTTTGAAGAGCTTTCAGAATAGGAGTTAACTGAAAAGACGAGAAAACAGAGAGAGCAAGAATAAGGATGATGAACTGAGCGGTGGTGATGCATGCCCTTAATCCCAGCACTCGGGAGGCAGAGACAGGAGGATCTCTGAATTCAAAGCCAGCCTGGTCTACAGAGCGAGTTCCAGGACAGCCAGGGCTCCACAGAGAAACCCTGTCTTGAAAACAAAACAAAGAAAACCAACAACAATGAAAAGAGGATGATGAGGGTGGGAAGGTGGTCTGGGCGGCTCGACCACCTGTGCAGTGCTGGGGCTCGGGAGAGATGGAGCCGCAGACTGGAAGGAAGGTGAACAAGCACAGCAGAGAGGCGGGCAGACAGGAGCTCAGGCTGGCCCCCGGGACTCCCCTCATTCACCCCTGCAGGCTCGGGGGTGTGAAGCAGGAGCCAGTGGGGGCTGAAGAGAGGATGACAGACCATTGGTCATCACAGGCCTGGAAAGGAGCACCAAAGGGCCCCCTTTGCCTCCAGAATTCCATGTTCTCAATTGATCCCAGGCTAGGGGCCTGCAGGGGTGAATGAGGGGACTGGGGCAGGAGGGACTAATACTGGTTGTGCAGGGGGGAACAAAGAATAGAACTGACCAGGTGCTGTCCCAGAGCCTCTGAGGCTCTGGTCCCTAGATACAGCAGGGAATATCCCTGCACCCAAGGGACCGCCCCAGGTGTACTCCTCAACACTTTCCAGCTAGAGTTAAAGATCCTAACCAAGGCCTCCTTTCCTCTTGTGCCCACAGAGACCTATGGGTGTGCCGGCTTACCCTGTAAGTACCTGGTGAGGGGTGAGCAGTCTCCTCCAGAACTGGAGGATTGCCTACAGAGGAGATTTGGGAGCAGTCAAAGGACCCCACATCCCCTCACCACTCTTGCCTTTTGTCTGTCCACCCTGTAGGGTCCTGGATACAACCCTCCACAGATGAACAGCCTGCCTGTAAGTGGGAGGGGTTTGGGGGGCACATGGAGGGATGAAGATAATTTGGGATGGGGAGAGGGATGGTGACGTGTTGGAGAAGGCACCTGTCAAATATTGTATTTTTTAAAAAAAAATTATTTATTTATTAAGCATACAATGTACTGCTGCAAGGAAGGCACCAGACCTCATTACAGATGGTTGTGAGCCACCATGTGGTTGCTGGGAATTGAACTCAGGACCTCTGGAAGAGCAGCCAGTGCTCTTACCCTCTGAGCCATCTCTCCAGCCCTCAAATATTGTAAAGTGAGATTTCTTTCTTCTTTTGTAGGTCATGGCGGGACCCCCAACCTTCAATCCGGTATGGTGTTCCAGCCACCTTCTGGGGAGCAAGCAGGGAATGTGGGAAGTCCAGATATGGTGGACTGCTTGTGGGCTGGGGGTTTGGGGGTAAGAGGTGAGAGTAGAGACAGTTGGCAGTCAGGGTTCAGAAGACACAAGACACGGTTGGGGACAATTCACAGGCAAAATGCTGCCTCTCTGTGAAAATGTGGTCTGTTCTTGGCTTCTCTAGTCAGAGACTGGATGAGAACCCATGTTCTTTCCCTACAGCCTGTGCCTTATGTGGGGACCCTACAAGGGGGACTTACAGCCAGAAGAACCATCGTAGTCAAGGGCTATATCCCTCCCACAGCCAGGAAGTAAGCACCCAGGTCGGGTGGGATCTCCCCTCCTCCCTCAGGCCCGGAGATCAAGACCCCATCCCTCTTCCCTCCAACCTCCTTCCTTGGAGACTCAGCTGCCGGTCCCCATCTGACACCTTATCTGTCCTCAGTTTTATCATCAACTTCAAGGTGGGGTCCTCTGGGGACATAGCTCTCCACATCAACCCCCGCATGGGTGAGGCCGTGGTTCGCAACAGCTTTATGAACGGCTCCTGGGGCTCCGAGGAGAGGAAGGTTGCCTACAACCCCTTTGTCCCTGGACAGTTCTTTGACGTGAGTCTGGGCGTTCCCTCCCCGCTCTCCCCAGACCCGGGTCCTGCTGGTCCTGCCTTGCTTCTCCCCTCCCCCAAGACCCGGGTTCTGCTGGTCCTGCCTTACCTTTCCCCTCCCCCACAGCTCTCAATCCGTTGCGGCACCGATCGATTCAAGGTGTTTGCTAACGGCCAGCACCTTTTCGACTACTCGCATCGGTTCCAAGCATTCCATAGGATAGACACGCTGGAGATCAAAGGTGACATCACCTTGTCCTACGTCCAGATCTGAGCTCCACCTGGGAAAGAGGAAAGAAGCCCCTAGTTCCATCTCAGCCCCTAATAAAATGCCTAAGGGATCTCTGTAAGTGTATGATTCATTCACCTGCCCCATGGTTGCCTTGGCCCTGGCTTCCATCCTGTCCTCCTCCTCCACACACCTACCCATCTTCCCTCCCATTTAAACAAACAGAACAGGTCTGCCTCAAGCCCTGGCTTAGTGTGTATCAATCCATTCACTCTGGATTCCAACCTTAGGATCTACTGCCTTAATTCATCCATAACAGATGAGCAAACAGGCAGTGTGTGTGTGTGTGTGTGTGTGTGTGTGTGTGCGCACGCGCGTGCGCGTGTGGTGAGTAAACATAAAGCTAAGTGTGGTAGTACATGCTTCTTTTTTTTATTATTTGTTATTTTTATTTTTTTGTGGTACATGCTTCTAATCCCCACTTAGGAAGTAAAGGAATGAAGTTCAGAAGTTCATGGTCATCCTTAGTTATAAGTATGTTAGGAGCTAGCCTGTGCTACATGAGACCCTATCACAGAAATGAAGGGAGGGAAAGGAAAAGGAAGAAAGGAAGGAAGGGAGGAACTGAAGGAAAATAGGCAAATTGCCAAGCTAGGTATACTCACACTTGCCTGTAGCTCCAACACTTGGAAGACTGAAGCAGGGGTGGGGCTTCAAGGCTAGCCTGTGCTAGCTACATAGTGTAGGACTATATAATGAGACCCTGTCTCTGAAAACATTTTGCTTCAATCCCAGCACTTAGGAGGCTAAGGCAGTAGGAGTACATGGTCACACTGGGGCTAGCCTGAGCTAAGAGTAAGAACCTAGCTCAGAATAGAGAGAGGAAGAGAAAAGGAGGGTGGGAAGGAGGAAGGAGGAGAGGAGGAGAAGGGGGAGAAAAGGAGGGAGAACAAGGAATGTGGTCTGGCTTCCCATCTACCCACTTACCCACCTGTGATGCTCAGATCTTATAATTTTTGGGGGATTTTCACTTTGTAGCCCCAACATGAAACTCACTACATGTATCAGACTGGCCTCAAACTCAAAAAGGTCTACCTCCCTCCTGAGTGCTGTGTGAACACTGGTGTCACCCCAGCTAGTGTGTAATGGTTTCATTGTCTACCTGTCCGTCTACAATAACCTGCAAAGGGAGTCTCCATAGGGTTTGCCTCAGTCAGGAGGCCTGTGGCCTTGTCTGTGGGATTATCTTGATTATGTTAATTGCAGTAGCCCACTGTAGGCAGCACCATTCCCTAGGCTGGGATCCTGGACTGCTTGTGTGGAGAGGGAGTGAGCTCAAGCTTTCAATGTTGCTCTGCTCTTGACTATGGATGTGACCAGCTGCCTCAAGATGGAGTTCCTGTCTCCCTTTCACAACCTGGGCCTGTGAGCTTAGAAATCCTCCCCTCCTGAGTTGCTTTTGTCAGGGTATTTTATCATAGTAGCAGAGATAAAAGTAGGACACCGTCTGAACGCCCATCATTCTCTCTCCATTCATGAGGCAACCATAAGTCCATCCACCCATCCATCC